TTTTTCCTTTTCGTTTGCTTGAAAGATTTTTTTTCCATCCCTTCACTTTCAACCTATGTGAGTCTTTTGTTGTGGGGTGGGTCTCTTGTAAACAACATATATGTGAGTCATGCTTTCTTATCCAGTCAGCTACTCTGTGTCTTTTTATTGAAGCATTCAAACCATTCACATTTAAGGTGATAATTGATATGTGCTTATTTATTGCCATTTTTGTTTAGTGTGGTTCTATTTTTTTTCCTCTTTCTTCTACTAATTACAGCAGTCCTTTTAGCATATCTTGTAGTGCCGGTTTGGTGCTAATATATTCCCTTAGCCTTTTTTGTCTGGAAAGCTCTTTATTTCACCTTCTATTTTGAATGATAGCCTTGCTGGATAGAGTAGCCTTGGATTCAGATCCTTGTTTTCATGACTTTGGTTCCTTCATGCCATTCCCTTCTGGCCTGTAGTGTTTCTGTTGAGAAGTCAGCTGAGAGACTCTTGGGGGTTCCTTTGTAGGTAACCTGTTTCTTATCTCTTTTTGCCTTTAGGATTCTCTCTTTGTCTTTAATTTTTGACATTTTAATGACTATGTGTCTTGGTGTGGACCTGTTTGGGTCCTTCTTACTTGGGGCTCTCTGTGCTTCTTGAACTTGAATGCCTTCTTCCTTCACCAAGTTAGAAATGTTTTCTGTCACTATTTCTTCAAATATATTCTCTAACCCTTGCCCATTTTCTTCCTCTTCAGGGACTCCTATGATGCAAATGTTATTACATTTCCAGTTGTCCCACAGTTCTCTTATGCCGTCTTCCTGTTTTTTAATTATTTTTTCCTTTGGGTTTTCTGATTGGCTGATTTTTTTTCTACCCTGTCTTCTAATTCACTGATCCAGTCCTCAGCTTCCTCTACCCTGCTGGTTAGTCCTTCCAATGTGTTCTTAATTTCTGCTATGTCATTCTTCATTTCCACTTGGTTGGTTTTCAATGTTTCTATATCTTTACTCACGGTGCTGATGTTCTTACTCATGCTGTTGAGTTTCTTCAAGATCATGGCTCTGAACTCTACCTCTGATAATTTGCTTAGCTGCATTTCATTTATTTCTTCTTCGATAGAGTTCTCTTGTTCCTTCATTTGGATTTGTTTCTTTGTTTCACCATTTTGGCTATCTCAGTGAGTTTTGGAACCTGCCAAATTTTCCCTGTGGGTGTTGGTGTTCTGCTGTCTGTGGCTCCCTCTACTGGGTTTGGATGAGCCTGGGTGGGCCTATGTTAAACACCATGGTCAAGTCTTACTTTCCTGGGTCGATTTGCAAGCCCAGGAAAGGTTCAATTATCCTCTAGCTTTTTGCCTGGAGGCTAGTAGTCTCAGTTACTCAGTGCCTTGGAATGTAGCCCTGGTGTTCTGCATAAGAGGATTTTCAGAGGGTGGGATAGATGCTGTTTGTTAATGAGCCTCAATTTTCATTTTTTTGCCTCACCTGGGAAAGGCTGAATCTCCAAGTGGGGGGGGGGGGCTGCTGCTTTCCCCCACAGCTCTGGGAAGGAGCACACTGTCCACTGTGCTTTGTGGCTGCAACTCAGCAAAAATTCTGAGTGCCCTCCAAATCCCAGGTGTCTCCACAGAGTTCCAGCCCAGTCTGCCCTCCCTCTGCCATAGCCCTCAGGTGAGTGGCTGTGGCTATTTTAGCAATGTCCATGCTATCTGCGCCGTGGAGCATATTTGGTCTTTATTCCCCAAGGGCGCTGTTCACAGCTAAGACTGCTGCTGTCCTTGGACTCCCAGCCCGCCACCCTCTGGCGCCTCTGTAGATCCTACCAGTGTCCCTGGTTATAGGGTGTTGTCCTGCTGTTTTTTTCCAAGGATTTGTCTTTATTTTAGTTGTAATTCCCATTTGGTCCTGGGAGATCGTCTGCATAGCTTCTATTCACTCCGCCTCCGTTTTCACACCCTCTAAGCCTATCTTGTGTGCAGCTGGGTTGCACAGGCCTTTCTGGTGCCCCTGCACCATGCAGGTCCCATGGGTAACTAGATCACACAGTCCCTGCTGGGTCACGCAGGCCTCTCTGGTGCTTCAGCACCCTGCAGGTCCTGTGGGTAATTGGATGGCACAGTCCCTGCTCGGTTGCACAGGCCTCTCAGGTGTTTCAGATCCCAGCAGGTCCCAAGGGTAACTGGATTGCACAGTTCCTTCTGGATCACTCAGGCCTCTCTGGTGCCCCTGTACCCTGTAGTTCCCATAGGCAGGCAGTTGGATTGCACCAGTCTCTCTGGGACTCAGGCTTCCCACTGCTCTTATGGGCTACTGGACTGCACAGGTCTCTGTGGAGCCCCACGTCTTGCCGCTGGCGGCTGGGGAGTGCTGCTGCCCCATGGGGCTCAACTCCTGCTCAGCTTTTGCTGTAGTTTTTGGAGATGAGTCTCAGCTGCTGGTCTGTGCTTCTGTTGCCTGGGGATGGATGTCTGCTCCTCAGCCTCTCTTGCTGGGGGTATATCTGGACTCTGATTGGGCTGCTACTATGGGGGATGGTGCTGGGCTCCGGGCTGTTCTCTGCTTTCAAGACCGGCACCTTGAGAGCTCCACTAATGTGCACCAGTCTGTGTTGACACAGAGTGTCCACTGGTCCGATGGTGCCAGGTGTGCTGGTGGGCTCAGGTTGCTGGGCCCTAGCCGTTCCCACTGCCTCCTCCCAGGGAAGACCTGGGACCTTCCAAAATGGTGGGACCTCCCCATGACGCAGGGAGAAGCGCCCTGAAGAGCCGCTTAGTGTGGTAGCCGGCTGGTCCCATCCATAGCACAGGAACTTTCTGCTCTGCGGCTCTGCACTGCTTGGGTTTGGTTGTCCACCTTCACGTCCACTCACACTCTCTTACACACTCACCCTCCCTCCTGTCCTGCCTGCTGCCATCTTCCCAAAGTCCATTACAACTTTTTCGAGAGTTGTCTGTTTTAATGGTTACTTGCTCAATTACTGATTACTTGCTCAATTTTTTTAAATTTGATAAAGTTCAGTACTTTTAAGCAGATTGTAAAAATCATAGCTACATCGTGCCACTACCTATAAGCAAATACATTTTGTTTATATGTTTGAAATTTGCCTTCAAGCTCTGGGACATAGAGGCAAATCATACGCCAGCCTGGGAGAAAACCACCAGTGATGTTCAAAGCCAACTCTTGTATGCCAAGTGTTGAGTCTTTAAGGAATTATCTGTCCCACTTGTGGATGTGACACTCACCTAGGGAACAACATCCTGGCCTCTCACATCTGCCAAGTCCTTCCTACAGTCAGGAAGTATGCCACCAACCCAACCTCCCCTTTTACATTTAAGTAGAGATCTTAAGAGTCTAGGACCACTCACCAGGCCTTCTTCCTTAATTTGCAAAGTCTGTCTTCTGGGGGGTTCTTCAGTTAATTTTTTTTTAAAGAGAGAATTATGCCTACAAAATTCCCCAATTTCTTTCTTTCTTTCTCTTTCTTTCTTTCTTTCTTTCTTTCTTTCTTTCTTTCTTTCTTTCTTTCTTTCTTTCCCTTCCTTCCTTCCTTCCTTCCTTCCTTCCTTCCTTCCTTCCTTCCTTCCTTCCTTTCTCTCTCTCTCTCTCTCTCTCTCTCTCTCTCTCTCTCTCTCTCTCCTCACCTGAGAATATTTTTCCATTGATTTTCAGATAGGGAGGGAGGGAGACAGAGATAGAGAAACATCAGTGTGAGAGAGACATATCAATTGGTTGCCTCCTGCACAACCCCAGCCAGGGCCAGGAATCGAATTGCAACTGAGGTACGTGCCCTTGACCAGAATAGAATATATGACTCTTGGGTCCACGGGCTGACATTCTAACCAGCCAGGGCTCCCCAGTATTTTTCATCCCATTTCAAGAATTCTGACTTTAACAGCAAGTCTGAATAATAAAAAAAAAAAAAAAAAAAAAAAAACATTAAAAAAAGAGAGAGAGAGAGAGAGAAAGATTACTCTAAAACTTAAAGGAATTTGGAACACAGAGAGAGGGGGACACTTTAAGACTTAAACTCTCCAGCTAGATCACCTACCATGAGAAGCCACTAGCTGCTCAGATGGTCAGGAGCAGAGCAAAGGGTGAGATCAGAGCCAGTTCACTCTGTTTCCATTCATTCATTCGTTCGTTCATTCGTTCGTTCATTCATTCATCCGTTCACGCATTCCTCTATTTGACAAACATATTTTGAAGGCCACTATGTATCATGGACTTGACGTATAGTGCTGGTGGGAGATTATCACCGCCCTTAAAAAATTCCCAGTCCCGCGGGGAAGACTGCTAAGCAAAGAATCACTTAGCTGTCATAACATTGGTTGAGTAAAATAAATCTGGAAGTAGTTTGAAGAGAAACCAAAGTTAAGAGAAAGGCACTTTTGGTAACTTATTAGACTAGCATTTTAAACATATAAACTAAATGTAAAAGGAAGCACCTTAGCCCTAGCCAGTTTTGCTCAATGGTTAGAGCATCAGCCCAAGGACAGAAGAGTTCCAGGTTTGATTTCCAGTCAAGGTCACATGCCTGGGTTGTGGGTTCAATCCCCAGGCCCAGTCGGGGTCGTGCAAGAGGCAACCAATCTATGTGTCTCTCTCACATGATGTTTCTCTCTCTCTCCCCCTCCCTCCCATTCTATCTATCTATCTGGAAAAGTATCCTGGGGTGAGGATTAAATAAAATAAAAGATGTCTTAAAAAAATATAAAGAAAACACTGATTTGTGATTTATGACCACAGTATCAAATGTTTCACTTGCAATCTCATAAATGATTTGCCATAGTGTGAAAAGTTTAATTTTGAACAGTTTGTTTAAAATAAGTCATTCATTCACTTTTAACAATAACGGTGATACATTCTTATAGAAAATTTGGAGATTAAAGTATAAAACGAATATGAACATTCCCACCTGGTCATTGAATAAAAAGTTTTGGGTGATTAAGCTCTGAATGTAAGAAGCCAAAGCGCCTGAGTGTGCGGTGCGTGGGGTTCACATTGGCTCACCCTCTGGTGCCCTCCCTTCAGCTCTGTCCGGCCCGGGCCTCGTGCGCATGGTGACAATCTGTACGGAATCCATCATAAGGCACCTGGACAGGTTGGAGGAAGTCAGGCGCGAGTCGGGCACTGTCGACGTGCTGACCCTCATGCGGCGCATCATGCTGGACACCTCCAACGCGCTCTTCCTGGGGATCCCCTTGGACGGTACGAAATCTTCACTCTCGTGACTTGACCTTCTGCCCTTTATTGAACAGGGGGGTGAGACGGGTAGCAGGCTCAAGTAAAAATATGCTGTTTTCTACACTGTTCTTCTCTCGGCATCTCTGAGACTTCCTACGATTTTTTTCCTAGTGTGTCTGCCTTGTTCACTTATAAGATATAAATTACTATAAAGTTGGGGCTATTTTTTTTTGTATCTCTCATCATAGCTCTCAGAAATGGAATTCTACCCACAGTCAAAACTCAACAAATGTGATCAGTTTACTTGGTCATTAATGTATCCTCCCACCAAACAAAGTGATCTATTTAACCATTTTCAACTCCTTTTGGGACATGATATATACATACATATATACACAGACATATATATACATACATATATACATACACACATATATAAATATGCATACACGTCCCTCCCTCAAACTTCTAAGTATGAAAACTTGGACTTTTATTTTTATTTTCACCTGAGGACATTTTTTTTTTTTGCGTTTATCTTCAGATAGAGCAGGAGGGAGAGAGGGAGGAAGAGAGAGAGAGAAACATCGATGTGAGACAGACACATCAAGTGGTCACCACCCACATGACCCCAACCAGGGCCAGGGACAAACTGCAACTGAGGTACGTGCCCTTAGCGGGAACCAAACCCAGGACTCTCAGATCCGCGGGCCGACGCTCTAACCACTGAGCCAAACCGGCCAGGGCAAAACTTGGACTTTCTGTATGATGATGGTGGTGTTTGCTGGCTGCTGGCAAACAATTACAACAGCTACCATTAATTCAGCATCTACTACAGACCAAGCAGTATAAAAAGTTGCTTTACATACAGTTTGTCAAGAAGTCTCACTCAAGAAGCTACTTTCTTCACTATACATAGAAACAAGCATTAAAACACATACATGCAACTGTACCGCCACCTAAAAGCAAACATTAGTCATTGGGATTAATTCCATTCTGCTGTCGTCCAGCTTCATGTAATTCTTCCTGAATTAAATTCTAACAGTGTTCATTGGTTCCTACATTTATTCAACAGATATTTACTGATTTCCTGTTTTCGCGCCAGGCACTGCTATCTGTTCTGAGGATAGAGCAGTGAACAAGACAGAGTCCTTACCTTCAGGGACCCTACATTTCAGTGGATACATGGACCGTCAACAAATAAATATCAATATATATTTACTTGTAATATATAACAAGTAATGTTATTTAGCCTATACTATATTAAGCAATAGTAAGTGCTTTGAAGGAAAACCAAGCAGGGCGAGAAGACAGTAAGTGAAGGGGCGGTCCGTGGAGTGGACATGTTCTCATGGAGAGGGTGGTCAGGAAGGGCCCCTGCAGAAGGACAAGTGTGTGTCAACCTCCACGAAGTGAGGCCACAGCCACACACAGATCGGAGGGAAAACAGTGCAGGCATAAGAACAAGGCAGAATGTAACACTTGCCCGCACCAGCTGAGCTCCAACCCCTGCTGACTGATCAACCGCATTCGGACAGACAGACAAGCCCGAAGCCCTCCCTCTCTCTCCTCCAGCTCTCCTTGCCTGTCTGCCCTGCTCTCTACTCCCCACAAACTCATAGAAATCCAGGCCACTGGATGGGAGCCCCCATTCACTCTGAAGATTCTAAGATGAATTCTATATTCTGAACCAAATATGAATGAGTATGGAAGCTATGTGAGGAGTGCTATGGAAAAAATATGAAGAAAGCACTAGGAGCTGAGAATACAATTAAAAGCTATGAATTAGGTACATAATCCAAGTAGATGATGCATCTCATGGCTCTGCTCCCTGAACACCAAAGGACGTTTAAATGTGGCTGGTGGCTGTTGGCTGCCCAACAGGAGAGCGCCATGGCCTGTGGCCGCCCCACAAGCCAGAATTAAGGCCACACCAGCCATAATTATTAGTGTCCCTTCAATCCCCCGAGGTCCAGAAAAACAGGAGAGATGTGGAGGCCCAGCCTAAGAGGGGCATGTGAGATTTTTAGGCTGTGTCTCTTACACAATGTTGAAAACTGGCAAATAAATCTTTGGTCAACGTGGCCAACGGAGATGCCAAGCAGAATAAATGAGTATTGATTCGTCCAGTGGCAATGACATGGCTCAGACCCCACTGATGAAGGGACCTTGCCTGGCGTAGAACTGCAGGCTTGGAGGAGAGTCTGCGGGGATTCTCTGCTCAGAGTCCTCCTCTTGGGCTTCCCTGTTTGCTCAATTGCTCTGCTCTTTTTTGTTTGTTTATCCAGAAAATGCCATCGTCATTAAAATCCGGGGTTACTTTGAGGCATGGCAAGCTCTCCTTCTCAAACCAGACATCTTCTTTAAGATTTCTTGGCTATACAAAAAGTACGAAAAGTCTGTGTAAGTAACACAAGTTTCGAAAATTTGTCTATGAGCGTGGATTGGTTTTTCATTGTGTCTTTGCGATTGTTGGCCTCTTCAGCACGTTTTCTACTCACCAGAGCCCACAAGGGAGACGTTGATTAAGTCGCTGATGTAACCCTTTCTACCTCAACCTGGCTGAATACGGGGAGACCTAAGAGTAAAGGGGCCTTTGGCCAGGGCAGCCTCTCAGCAGGGGGGCCAAGTGGGTGGTGTGAGAATTCCGCGTCTGAAACTAAAACATTGCAGTGTTTTTGAGCTGAACAGAAGGGGTGGCTGAACCTGTCATTATTATCTGTCAAAATTCTCTTTGCATGGCTGGAAAAATGGAAACATGAAATCTTTTCATAGTTACGTTGCTCCTGGATAAATTTAACTTAATTCAACCTATTAGGAATTGACAAGTGGTCTCAAGAGAATTTTTTCATATGAACATAATGAACTTCAATAAAATATGTGTGGGTTTTTTTTGTTTGTGTTTTTAGTTATATATCTTGTGTCTTTGAGGGATCCTGAAACCATCATTAAGTGGTTTTGCTTTGGTCTTAGACTAGTCTAGCAGAAAACTGGACGAATGCCCAATGGCCATAGTTAATCAGTGGGTTTTTTCTAAGTAGCCAGCCATTAAACATGCCTCCTCTAATCACCAGTGGAAAGCCCGTGGGATCCAGAGGCAGGCAGATGTGGTTTGTAGCCTATCTCTACCACTTAGTAAGTAAACGGCCTTGGGAAGTTATTTAAAGTAAAACAGAACTGCCTGCCAGAGTGGGGATATAGGTGAATGAGATCCTATGTGGAGGGCAGCTGACACAGAGCCTGGGCCATAGTAGGCACTAAATACGTTGGTTTTCCCCTTCCCTCTGTTCATCTTAAATTCCCCATCTCTAAAAGTTCTCAAACTTGATGGAGGACCCTATTTATCCTCTTTGTGTATTTTTAAATTCAATAGTAGTAGTCTCCAGGGAGGAAACCCACTTGATGTTGCTTTATATATCGTCGTATGGTTAATGAGTGTTAGGGGGATGACTGGAGACTTCATTCTTTATACATTCCATTTCATTTCTACCAGAGCTCACTGTTATACAGGCTCATGCAATGAGTTTCATCACTTCACTGAGGTCAGATTTGGTGGTAGTTCCTGGTCATTAGTTTAGCTTTGGTCTTGGCCAAGAGGCCCATAGAAACTCATTGCATGAGCCTGTATAACAGTTTTTCTTAAGTTTCTGTAGAAATAGCTTAGCAACATTCTCTCTATATAACATTCGCCAATGGTTAGTGCACTAGTTTTTATTTCCTATGTCGTAGAGCAGTAAAGACCTAGAGAAATTCTTTAGTCTCCTTCCCTCCATGCCCTTGCAATTATGTCAATATTTTTATTGAGCTATTACTGACATTAGTTTTAGGTGTACAACATAGGGATTCAATATTTGTATATATTGCACAATGATCACCACAATAAATATAGTTAACATCAGTTACCATACATAGTTAAACATTTTCTTGTGATGAGAACTTTTAGAATCTACCCTCTTGACAACTTTCAAATATGCAATGCACTATTATTTGTTATTTATAGTCACCATGCTGTGCATTACATCTCCAGGACTTATTTATTTTATAACTTGAAGTTTGTACCTTTTGATCCCCTTCACCCATTTGCCTACTCCCCACCCCTCACCTCTGGCAACCACCAGTCTGTTCTTTGTATCTGTGAGCTCAATTTTTTGTTTGTTTTTTAAAGATTCCACACATAAGTGAGATCATACAGTATTTGCCTTTTTCTATCATGCTAATATTTTTTAAAATATATTTATGGAAAGGATTCTGGAACATCTACTCCCATCCTTATTTATTCAATATTTTTTTAAATCTTCACTGGAGGATATTTTTCTATTTATCTTCATATAGAGTGTGAGGGAGGGAGAGAGAGAGAGAAACATCGACATGAAAGGGACACATCTAGTGGCTGCCACCTGCCTGACCAATCAGGGCCGGGGACAAACTGCAACCAAGGTACGCGCCCTTAGCAGGAACCAAACCCAGGTCTCTCTGGACCACAGGCCGATGCTCTAACCGCTGAGCCAAAGAGGCCTTTAGTTTAAAAGAGATGTGAGGCTCGGAGACTTACAGTGGGTTTTGTAGAAAGAGAACAACCTGGCCCTGGCTGTTTTGGCTCACCAGAGAGCGTCAGCCTGCAGGCCAATGAGTCTTGAATTCGATTCCGGTCAAGGGCATGAACCTCGGTTGCGGTTCATCCCCAGCCCTGGTCAGGTCGTGCAGGAGGCAACGAGCCAATGTGGCTCTGTCACATTGACGTTTCTCTCTCCCTCCCTCCCACTCTATCTGATGATAAATAGAAAAATATCCTCGGGTGAGGATTAAAAACAGAAAGAGAACAACCTGAACTAGAACCTGGCCTTTGTCCAAGGAGCTCTTCCCTCCACCACACTGTCAAGATGCCTATACATATGTATGCAGCCATTCGTTTATTCAACAAATATTTACTTAGTATTTATTATGTGGCAAACACTGCAAGGCATGGGAACAAATATCAAGATTAATAAACAGTCACTGGAGTTTACTGTATAGAACAGAAATCTCAACTCCATAATCTCGAGGACCAGGCAAATAAAAGTGGGCTGGGTAAACACAAGACAACAGAAAACAGAGGTACCCGTGGCAAACTGGAAAGCGCATGTCCCCAATAGAGACATTCACTGGTTTTGGTTTTGTTTTTTTCATTTATACACCGTGCTGGCCAAATAAAACATCAGCAAACAGGACTGGATTTAGCTTTGGGTGCCAGTTTAACCCTTAACCAGGGGTCACGGCCTTGATTTGCTCTTCGTACCTGGAAACTCTGGCTCCTTAACATGAAGTAAAATGTATATGTCATTTAAGGATATTTGTGAAGAATTAAGTATAAACTCAGTTATTCATAAGCACTAATAGTTTCAACTAAAGCAGATTATTTTATTTAAATAAATGGCAAATGAGTCCATTTTTTCTACATGTCTTAACTGACTACAGATACATTATATTTTCACTTTTTTTTTCCAGCAAGGATTTGAAAGATACCATAGAAATTCTGATAGAAGAAAAAAGACACAGGATTTTCACAGCAGACAAACTGGAAGACTGTATAGATTTCGCCACTGAGTTGATTTTTGCTGAGGTATTGACCTGACCTAACCATAATTCCCACACAACCGACGTGCATGGCTGTGTGTACGTGTGTAGAGATTTCCTCTTGTGATCGTGTTGCATATTTCTGCTTTTAATATTTGCTCCAGCTGTTCTATAATGTCCAACTCATTAGACATTCAGGTAAGACTGACCTTTAAGACTGAAGCTACTCTGTACCTGCAAAATATAAAATGTGAAAATGGGAGAGTCCATAGACACTAAATACATAGATAATTGGTTGTAATAGTTCAGCTTTCAGCTCAATTACAGAAACATGTAATTTGTATGATTTCATTTTGGTGAGGTTGCTGACCCTTGAAGGTCACTTCCCCTCCTTTTGTGAACTTCTGATTCACTTTTCCAACTTTTCTCCCCTCTTGCAATTATTCAGAAACGTGGCGACCTGACAAGAGAGAACGTGAACCAGTGCATACTGGAAATGCTGATTGCAGCACCAGACACCATGTCCGTCTCGGTGTTCTTCATGCTATTTCTCATTGCAAAGCACCCCAACATTGAAGAGGCAATAATGAAGGAAATACAGTCTGTTGTTGGTAAGAGTTTATCAAATAAACAATAGAGTTTAGAAAACAATTTCTTCTGAATATCCGCTTCTTATGTCCTGAGAATCTGAGGTCAAACCCAATCTCTATTATACACCACCAAAGAACAACAAAGCAAGTCATCTTGTCACACTTTCCTTATGCCAGATAGGCTAAACATAGTTCTCTCTGTGTTTTATTTTTCATTGGAAAAAACTCAAGGAATAGGGAGATGGTTAAAGCGGACAGCGGCATCGCCGGACTGCTCCCACTCCTCCCAGCCTCACTCCCATCCCCCAGAGGAGCCACTGTTAGTAGTCTGCCGTGTATTCTTTACTTATGTGCACTTAAACACGTATATATGGTCATATTTATTTGGGATTCTTTAAAAATTGATCACGCACAATATTTTGCCTACCTTATCGATGACAAAGGCTTCTGTGGCTTCAGCCAGGGACGTGGCGATGCACAGCAGGGCTTCTGAGTTTCCAGCAGTCCATCAGTAACGAACTTCCACCTGGAGGCCGAGGGAGGAGGAGAGGCTGACAGCAAAGATGGGGGAGTGATCAGCTTTCCTCCCCCCCACCCCGATCCAGTGATGCTGACCTCGCCTTCCCCTGAGCCTCTCCTCCGCCTCTGCAGGGCCCCCCTGGGCCCCGCTCAAGCAGTTCCCACCACCACCTCTTCCCTCCACGGCCTCCGCCTAAGCACTGTTCTGCCCACGGCTCCTGACATCACCGTCCTTCCTTCCACAGAAATGCTGTCAGATCGAAGTCAGACTTGCTTTCTGAGAGAAAACAAAATTCCTTATTTGGGATGTCCTTCACATGGGTCATCTTTGTAGGAACACACTTCTGACATATGTGACAAGATATCGATAATGATGTAGACTTTTCTCTCTTGACCTTGCACAATCCCGTGAAACCAGTTATTTGATTGTGGAAAAATGCTATCTTTTTAAAACCATTTCAATGCTGCTTGAAATAGTTGACAGTAAGGGGATCTCATAGAAGAGTTAACTATGTGAGGGGAGGAGGAGAAGGGTCTGCAGGTGCAGGGCTGTAGGCAGGAAATTGCCTGGCAAATTAGACAGCAAGGAGCCAAAATAGCACCCAGGCTCCAAATTCCAGAATGTTCCCTCGAGTGTCCCTGTCATGGTCCAGGTCTTGTGCCAGGTGCAGGGGCATAGCGGTGAACAAGCCAGTGTCATCCCTGTACTCATGGGGCTCACGGACAGGAGGGAGAAGGAGAACTCAACAAGTCAGCTCCGTGGAGTGAAGAGAGGGGACCACAGAACGATGGTGTCCAGGGAACAAGGGGGGGATTACTCCTGAGAACACAGCCTTTAATACAAGTTCCTCGAGGAGTGAAAAGTGTTCGTGCCCATGATGTCCCCAACACTTCAGACCTCTCAAGGATGCAGAAGCCGCAGAACCACGTGCACGAGTGTCCGTGCGGCCTCTGGATAAACGTCGTGGTAATCCCTTCCCGGGGAACACCTTTGCTAGCCTTCTCCGGCATCTTCCCTTCTGCCTCCTCAGCCCGGAGAAACACACTTCATTCGACCCTGAGTGTACAAAGAGGAGCATGCGAGGGGCGGGGCTGGGAGAGTTCCCTGACCCAACGAGACCTTTCCTGAATGGCACAGCTGTACAGTAGCCAGGGCTGCCTCGGGACCCTGGTCTATGTTCGATTCTGCAAAAAGTGCTAGCCCACTTGAGGATGCCCTGAAGCTTTGCCAATATTGGAGTCATCAAGCTTCTCTGACTAGTGTCAGGCCAGTCTGAGACAGAGGGGGTGTCCTTCAACCCCCAGCTCACCTTCAATCCCCAGCACATCTGAGGCACCCATTTTGTTGTGGTGGGAGGGGGGTTCTTGCCCCTCTACAACAGGTTGTTCTTGATGACGGCGAGGAGGGGCACCAGTGACTTGCTGAGGGCAGATGACAGGTAACCAGAGGAGAAAATGTCATGAAAACTGACCAGTCACTGTCTCACTTTGACTAGAGGAGTGACTGTCCCCTTGAATGTAGAGCAGGGAATGAAATGCAGATGCCTCAGAGGACAGGCAGATAGATGTCCGAAGCAGACTGGTAGGTCTGCATGAGGCTGCAGAGCAGCGGCCGCTCCACAGGCTCATCAGCCCTCAGCGTCAGCCCCTGGTGCCCGCGGGCCTGTGAGCCCAGTGCTACCAGGTTTTTTATTATTTTTATAAAAATCCAGGCTTTTCTATGAAATCCCCTAGCTTTTAAGATCATTGGCTTCCAGTCTGAATTTTTATAAAACACACTGCAGGCCAAACATAACACAGGTGGCCCAGGTTGCTAGTTTGCACTAGAATTATGAATACAAATTTTTTTTCCAACCAAGGGCAAAGCTGTTCAGTAGAAACTGTAGAAGTTTTCATGCCCATCACTAACATGACCTCTTTGTCCTGTTCATCTGCTCCCACAGGTGAAAGAGACATAAGGATTGATGACATTCAAAAATTAAAAGTGGTGGAAAACTTTATTTACGAGAGCATGCGGTACCAGCCTGTGGTGGACTTGGTCATGCGCAAAGCCTTACAGGATGACATCATTGATGGCTACCCAGTGAAAAAGGGGACTAACATCATCCTGAATATTGGAAGAATGCACAGACTTGAGTTTTTCCCCAAGCCTAATGAATTTAATCTTGAAAACTTTGCAAAGAATGTAAGTGCCACTCCTTAAAACCAAGTGTGCCACCCTCTACAATGTCAGCTGTCAAGTCCTCTCTGGTTCTGTGTTTGCACCACGTACATTTCATTCTGTTTACTTGTCCCCTTCTGTAGCCTCACCAGAAACACATTTTCCCTAGTTTGGACCATGGCTACATTTGTCCTCAAGCCAAGGGTGTTGGGTCTCCAGCTACATGGTGCATCTACACGGTGACCACATAATAGGTCCAACTGTGGAAGAGTCAGGACCTGAATTTAACTAAAATGAGGCAAATTTTGTTTAACCCAACCGACCTACTTTTCCATTTAAAGTTACCACTCTGTCATCACGTAACTACTGAGTATCTAAGCAAAGGAAAGCCCACTTCTGCTTTAGGTGGAAATCAAATGAGATCAAAAGATTTGGATTTTGTAGCCTGTCTTTGATTCTCCAGACGGTCCCACAAGAACTAATTCCCATTCCAAACAGGACTCAGTGATGAGACGAACTTCAGCTTTTGCTTTTTCTGTCACTGAAGTATCCTGAAGATTCTGCTTCCCTTACGTCAAATTTTAGGCAATGATGTTGTTTTGTTGTTTGGTTTTTTGTTTTTTGTTAATCCTCACTGAGGACATTTTTCCATTGATTTTTAGATAGAGTGGAAGGGAGGGAAGAAGGGATGGGGAGGCAGAGAAAGAGAGAGAGAGAGAGAGAAGCATTGAAGTGAGAGAGACACATCGATCAGTTGCCTCCCGCTGGGGATTGAACCTGCAAACCAGGTATGTGCCCTTGACTGGGAATCAAATCTGTGACCCTTCAGTCTGTGGGCTATCGCTCTTGCTGCTGAGCCACACTGGCCAGAGCAGGACAGTGATGTTTTAACCTGTATTATCCCTTAGTTCCCTTAGTGTCTTCTATTTCCATTTGCATATGGTGTGGAAAATGATAATCCAGTTCTCTAATTTTTTTTAATGTTTTTATTGATTTTTTAGAGAGAGAGGAAGGGAGAGAGATTGAAACATCAATCGGTTGCCTCCTGCATGCCCCCTACTAGGGATTGAACCTGCAACCCAGGCATGTGCCCTGACCGGAAATCGAACCAGGACCTCTCAGTCCATGGAACAACGCTCAATCCACTGAGCCACACTGGCTGGGCTCCAGTGCTCTTAATTTTTTCTGTTTCTGTATGAGCAACCCATGCCATGTTGACAATTAGTCAGCAAAATCTTATTGGGCCCTGGCTGGTGTGGCCCAGTTGGTTAGACCATCATCCCATGCACCAAAGGGTCATGGGTTTGATTTCTGGTCAAGGGCACGTACCCAGGTTGCAGGTTCGATCTCCAGTTGGGACACATGCAGCAGGCAGCAATAGAATTTTCTCTCTCAAATCAATGTTTTTCTCACTCTCTCTTTCTCTCTCCCCTTCTCCCTTCCTCTCTCTCTAAAATCAATTTTTTTAAATGTCCTCAGGGGAGCATTAAGAAAAAACAAAACTTACTTGGAATCTACTATGTGACAGGCACTATGTAAGCCCAGATGTGGACAACAGATATGGTACCCATTAATTTTTTGTATAACTAAAAATATTTAGATGCTTGGCACTACTAGGTCAGGAATCTATCTTTCCCTAAATTTTCTGTTGTCATCAAGTTATATGACATTTCACAACACTCTTTGCTTTGGTGATTTGCAGAACAGTAGTAAAGCTGTGGCCATCCTAGAAAGCTAGTTGATAACAGTGGCTGTAATAACACCATCTGCATTGCTTTACCCAGCACATTTATACGGAAAGCAAAGCTGGGTACTGTCCAAGGTTGGGTGTGTGGCCCAGGGGGTGAATCTAACTGGATAGAGAAAGGGGCATATCTGAGTTACGGACGGTCATTCATCTCAGTGAAGGAGCAGTATGGCTGAGACCCCAAAACAGAGCATTCTGACTGACCCGTATTTTTAGGGTAAATCAAACAGAGACGGCATGATTTTAGCCTTTAAAACTTCAGCTCATTGTCTGATCGTTTTCATAGGTTCCTTACAGGTATTTTCAGCCATTTGGTTTTGGGCCCCGCAGCTGTGCAGGAAAATACATCGCCATGGTGATGATGAAAGTCATCTTAGTCACACTTCTGAGACGATTCCACGTGCAGACACCGCAAGGTTGCGTGTGTGTCGACGAGATGCAGGTAAAAAGTGACTTGGCCGTGCACCCAGATGAATCTAGCAACTTCCTGGATATGATTTTTATCCCAAGAAATTCAGACAAGTGCCTCAAATGCTGAAGAAGATTGGTCAGTACCTGCTCCAGAGCACTTCTCACCAGTAGTTCGCGAGAAAGCCATTCATCTTTGCCAGGTAGTATCATCCACGTAGTGCACATTCGGTGGTCCGTGGCATTTTATAGGCATACCTCCTCTGAGCTGTCAGCAAACCAGGAGACATTGGTCACCTGATCTCGTCAAAACCAGAGAACCAGAGCAAGAGAAAACACAGGGGCCAAGAGCTTGCAGGGAAAATGGTCAATGAAGAAGCTGCAGTATTAAAGGCCCAATTCCACAAAACATGTTGGAAAAGACAGACCATCAGCAGAACTTATATCCGGCTGCCCCTGGGATCGCCCCTGCCCTGCCCTGAGCAGCTGGATGTCTGGGGCAGAAGCTCTCAAGTGGATGAGAAAGACAAGGCCACTGTCTGGGTGCCTGGAGCCAAACACACCTGCTAGTGTGAATAAAAGTGTTTGATTTGGTTCTCAGTGGGGTTGAGCACTGAAGCATTCATAGTCTTTGGAGAAATACAATTCAGTATTTGTCTTTTCCTATGAATTCAATCAATTCTTGTTTATCCACATGTGACTTGTCTGTAGCAAAAGTTAAATAGGAGACGATCCTTCTCAGTCTCTCAAGTCATGCCTCAGCCACTTACCTCTGCTATAATGGATGTAGATTCGAGTAATACAAGGTAAATTAGTCATTTCTCAAGTCAACTATAATTAGGACCATATATCTATCTGCTTTAGGAATAGAAAGCCACACAATGCATTTCAAATTCAAATGTGTTTTCATGTATGCAGTGTTGCTTAGTTCCATTAGTATGGCTAACCAAGAGATAACTTTAAACAATGGCATCCAGTAACTCTTACAGAAGCTCCAATGACTTGGGGGAGGAGAAGTCCTCTAAATCCATATCGAATTCTATAGCCCAGTGGGTTTAAACTTCTATGGAGTGTGACTCCCATCGCATTATCTTTCTTCCTCAACATTTCTCCCCTCTCTTTCTATGACCCGAAAGCCAAGGGCAACAGATTAGTAGAGAATGTGATCAGTGTAGAACCCCTGCAATCATTATTTATCCTACCTCAGACTTCATAGTTGCCGTAGAGATTTAACTGTCTAGTTTATTGAATCATACGTAGCCATGGATAAAATGTACATCTTGTAATTAGCTCAGTAGAGGAAATCAAATAGACTAGTTAATTTTTAAAATACCACTTGTGTTATAGTATGATTTTTTGTCAACTAAATGTCATTTAAAAGCTGAAAAATTAAACTCATTTACAAAATGAAAACGTTGTAAATGTTCCCCATTGAGTCAACCGCCACCGCAACATCTGAATATTCTTCATCCTCCCTGTGGCAACAGGGCACCAGCTGAGTGTAAAACAAAGCGCGAGCTCACTGAAAGGAGGGTCTCTCCTATCTGCTGTCGTCCGTCCCGAATCTCCTCTGAAGGTCAGTACTGAACAGACACTCTTGCTCATAGACACCCTCAACTGACCCTAGAAACCAAGTGAAAGAGGCAGGTGTTCTAAGAATTCAGAGATGGGCATCAGTAAAGAAGGAAATGTTTGAACTGAAAATTATTTGAATCATCTGTATGACCCCATATGAGGGTGTGCCTGGATATTTCTGTAATCAGGTCTAGATAATCGTCTAAATAATTCAGAGCCCTGAAAGCAAGGCCAGGGTTCTAGATTTAATGTATCCAAGTTAATCCACTCAATGACTATAACACACTGTTCACGTTGCTCTGGCTGGAGGTGCATAGTAGAGAAAAACAGACTGGATCAGTGTACTTGACCCATCCAATTCCCTTGGAACAGCTGCTGTATTTTATGTGTATCTATGTAGCCAAGGCCTATGTCTATATGGTCAAAGTAAAGTGGAGGCTGATATACTTGTACATAGACAACGCTGATACAAAAATGCACTGTGTCCTCTCACCAACCTGGACCTCAGTAGACCCACCCATAAATATAGACGACACCAGCGGCACTCTACACTCGTCGCCAGTGCTTTAGTTCTGTTATTATTTTGCTTCATAAACACACCACCCCTTTTCCCTTTGTATCTAAGCCTTAATAACCAATTAAGTGTATAAGACAATCTCACTTTCAGGTCAAACATGCAGTTTGGTCACTGAGTGGATGACCTGGACATCTAGTATGCATCAACTGTCAGGCTGTGAGCTCCCCTCCCCCACCACACACACACACACACACACACACACACATGGTTGCATATAGCCCTAACTTACTGCTGCAGGGACACACATGAGTAACTTTATGGAACACGTTTCACTCACAGACAGTTACTTTATGCCCACTTTGAACTTGTGAGCAAGCCAATTGATTTGCTGAAGCAACTAATCCTTTTTTCTGAGTGGCCTTGGTTTCATACTCAAACCAGCTGGATCACTAAGAGCTTCATAGTATCTCCATTCCCTGCTGAAGTGAACACTTTCCCTGGCCACCAACACTTTCCCTCTGGCATGCTCACCACCTTCCCAAAATGCAGCTAGCTGCTTTTACTCCTCAAAAAACAACCCAAAAAAGAGAAATGAACTCTCACTTAAGCAGAAATCCCCACCCATGCTAATGCAGGAGGGGCAGACACATCTCTGTGTGTGGTCCTTGAGGCAAGTGCAAAGAGGAATTGTTATAAGTCACTAAGGTGCCACAGTGGATAGCTGCTCATTCACCTAGTACTTACCATGGGCCAGGGTATCACATATAAACCTCAAAACAATCATGCAAGGTAGAGCTCATTCCCCATTTTGCAGGTGATAAGACTGATTCTTAAAGAATAACTTGCCCCACTCAGCTAGAAATTGGAGCCCCCTGTCTTATCCCAAAGTCTATGATCTTTTTCTGGTGTGCTATACTAACTAAAAGTGGGATTCGGTCCTGTGTAAAATCAAATATAGTGTAATGATAAATTATTGTATATTTTAATTGGTATAGGTATTAAAATTGGGGGTGGGGGTAGAAAATCGAGTATTGAGAAATCCGGTGAATTTTTGCTCCTATCTTAGCCCTGGCTGGCCACTTCCCCATGGGTATAGATCTAAAAACAAGACTTGGAACTTTGGCCTGTCTCTCTAATCACCAGCCCAGGATGGGTCAAACAAGTTATATTGATTTGGCTATATTAAGGAGCCAAAGTCAATTGCTCTCTAGTCATTCATATTTTCTTTATCTCACTGTCTGACACACAACATGAACTCAATAAATTTTTGGTCGATGAATGATGGAAGAATCTTCGAACAAATAAGAGAAGCAAGTTTTATTAAATTCATAAGAATAATTGGTGTCATGTTTACACATTCTCCAATGTGGTCTTTGTAGTCTACTAAATGCTACTGAACCAGCCTAAGACAATGAATAAATTGGCTATGCATTTAAAACAAAGAAAAATAATCAGGCAGAGGGAGCTGATAGCTCTCAGTCATTGTTACTGGGGAGGGGTTTTGTCCTCATTAGGGGGTTGGACTAGATGTACCTTAGGACTCCATCTGCAACCTAATTCCACAAGTCTATGGGTTGACACCCCTCCACAATCAAGTGGTAAGGATTTGAACATTTTCTAATGGAAGCCAAAAAGTTGGCCCTGTAGAACACAACATCAAAGAGGTCATCTTTCAACCTCTCTTAGCTTAATAACCAGTGATATTCATAAGGATCACAGATGCATGGTATTTTTATGTTTAATGATGATATTTGATGTCCACCAGTTACCACGAGAGGTAACACTACGCATATTTGCAAGTCTAATTCATTTCCAAATAAATCAAAACAGTACATTTTATCCTATTTCAATGCAATCATTCCTGGTTTTCCTTTGGTCTCATTCTGGTCTCTTTCAGTAGCCTGTATTCCTGGTTCTCTTAGATCTTTTGTGGTTCCATCCACACAAGTCTTCTTGGCAGCCCCTTCCATGCAGCGTCTCTCAGTTTGGCTCAGATCCTCTGCTCAGGGAACCCCTGCCCAGGCTCCTGGCCCCAGGCCTGAGTCCTCTCCAGCAAATCTGGTATGTGTGTGCTTTCTGTCCTTCTCTTTCTTTTTTCTCTGCAGACCTACCTCCCATATTTTCCATATTTCCCAGAGTCTCCCTAGACCTCTGTTGTCTCCTTCCTTATTTTCCTTCCCCAGTCACATGCCCGAAATGCTCAGAGCAGAGGTCACTGGTTCAGCAGTTTCATGGGCCCTTTTATTCTGAGCTGGTGAAGCTGACGCGCCCGCCCCCCTGTAACCACCACAGGCTCTTACCTAGATGAGGTGCGGCCCTTCCTCCCTGAGTCGGTTTCTTCAAACTGCCATAATAAACTGGGAGACTTCAAGTATGAGAAACGTATTCTCTCAGGGTTCTGAAGACCAGGGTCTGAAATCAAGGCAACAGCAGGGCTGCTCTCTCTTGGAGCCACTAGAGAAAAATCTTTCCTCTCCACCTTCTTCTTGTCGCCTTGGCTTGTGGCCACGTCACTCTAATCTCTGCCTCTGTGATCTTGCTGCGTCTTCCTGTCTCAAATTTGCCTCTGCCTCTCTTTCACAAGAACATTTATCATTTGATTGGGGCCCATCCAGGTAATCCAGGATGATCTCATCTCAAGATCCTTAATTACATCTGCAAAAATCCTTTTTCCAAATAAGGTCACATTGACAGGTTCCAGGGATTTAGATGTGGGCATATCTTTGGGGGGCCATAATTCAACCCACAACACTCTCCCCACCCCAGGATATGACTGGCAGGACTCATTCTCCAGAGCAGTGTTTCCTACACCTGGATGCACACCTGAGTCACCTGGGCTTCTGTGGCACTGCAGAACCTGCTCCAATAGGTCTGAGTGAGGCCTGAGAGTCTGCATTTCTAACCAGCTTTCAGTCACACTGATGCTGACTGAGGTAGGTGGTCCAAAGTGAGCGAAGTCTGCGGTTGTGTGGTTCACAGGGCAGCAGCAGCACCTGGAACCTCACTAGGACGGAGACCCTTGGGCCCCACCCATACTTGCTGAGTCTGAATCTGTACTGCAACAAGATCTGCAAGCTCATGGTTT